GTGGGAAGTTCTAACCCTTCCCTACCCTGTAAAATTAGTTTTTCTATGCATCTGTGCTTCAGAGATTTTCCTGCACCACCTCCCTGCTGGAGAGATTTTCTGTCCCATTTTCCCACTGGAAAGATTTCCTGTCCAATCTCCATGATGGAAAGATTTCCTGTCCCACCACCCTGCTGGAAAGATTTCCTGTCCTACCTCCCTGCTAAAGAGAATTCCAATTCCATCTCCCTGCTGGAAAGATTTCCTGTCCCACATCCCTGCTGAAGAGATTGCATGTCCCATCGCCCTGCTGGAGAGATTTCCAATACCATCTCCCTGCTGGAGAGATTTTCAAGTCCATCTCAATGCTGGAGAAATTGCATGTCCCATCTTCCTGCTGGAGAAATTTACAATTCCATCTCCCTGCTGGAGAGATTTCATGTCCCATCTCCCTGCTGGAGAGATTTCCCATCCCATCCCCCTGCTGGAGAGATTTCCCATCCCATATCCTGCCTGAGAGATATCCCATCCCACCCCCCTCTCGGGGTGATTTCCCTTTCCATCTCCCTGTGTGAGAGATTTTCCGTCCCATCTCCCTGCTGGAGAGCTCTCCAAGCCCATCTCCATGTTTGAGAGATTTCCAATTCCATCTCCTTGCTGGAGAGATTTCCCATCTCCCTGCTGAAATGTTTTTTCACGTCCTACCTCCCTGCTGGAGAGATTTCCCATCCCATCTCCCTGCTAGAGAGATTTCCAATTCCATCACCCTACTGGAGAGATTACCAAGTCCATCTGCCTGTGGTAGAGATTTCCCATCCCATCTCTCTGCTAGAGAGATTTAATGTCCCATCTCTCTGCTGGAGAGATTTCCCGTCCCATCCCCATGCAGGATAGATTTCCCATCCCATATCCTGCTGGAGAGATATCCCATCCCATCCCCCTGCTGGAGAGATTTCCTATCCCATATCCTGCCTGAGAGATATCCCATCCCACCCCCCTCTCGGGGTGATTTCCCTTTCCATCTCCCTGTGTGAGAGATTTTCCGTCCCATCTCCCTGCTGGAGAGCTCTCCAAGCCCATCTCCATGTTTGAGAGATTTCACATCCCCTCCCCCTGCTGGAGAGATTTCCAGTCCCATCTCCCTGCTGGAAAGATTTCCCATCCCGGCCCCCTGCTGGAAATATTTCATGTACCATCTCCATGCTGTAGAGCTTTACCATCTCATCTCCCTGCTGGAGAGAATTCCCATTCCTTCTCCCTGCTGGAGAGAATTCCCATTCCTTCTCCCTGCTGGAGAGAATTCCCATTCCTTCTCCCTTCTGGAGAGATTTCCAAGTCTAGCTCTACTTTAAAGCCTACAAAAAACACTACTAGCCCCACTGCAAGGGGAGTGTTTTCTGTATCTGGCGAGTGCTTGTTTTTGTCTAGGCGAGTTCTTTAAAGCATATTAACTTACCTGATCTTCGCTCCCCAGGTGGTCAGCACTCCCCCCTTCTCCCTTCAGAGCAAAGGGGGAGGAAAGTCTGCGAGTGCTGGTCTTGGAGCCAGCAAGAGTGGGGAACAGTTAATTAAAACTGCTTTAAAGAATTTCCCTAGATAAGAAAGTGCGGTTACCCTTACAGTGCAAGAGTAGTCCCACTGAAAGGGTAGGATTGTTTCTTTATCAGGCGATAGGCTTTAAGAAATCACAATATCACAGGTCTTATCCTTCAGTTACTCACCTGGCTGTGACCTCTATATTAGAAATGGCATAGAAATATCTCGGCACGTTCGTCCCCCCGAGCGCCGGACGCAACAAGCGTAGCCGCAGGTCGGTGAGAGTGAAAAAGTCCTTTAAACCTCTGGCGCTCTCCATCCGAGTGTACAAGTTCTCCATCTTTCGAAGATCTGGGCCAGCAAAAATGGCAAAACGTTCTCGAACCTCAAAGAGCTTTCCTCATTGGGAAACCCAAGTTTCAGTAACATTTACTATATTTAGAATACAGCCAATATCACGATTGCAATCACATTGGAACCTTTGCCATTCTCAAAAGGGCAATTTAATTTTTATCAGAGCTCTGTTACTAGTTCCTATGACATTGCGCCACACCTAAACCCGCTCTCTTGTCCAAGTGACTAATTAGGATTTTTGCCTACAGGTTTTATTTCTTTATGCCAGCGGTATGCCTCCTGCACCTGGCATGACATCACAAATACAGCGTATTTATTTATTTTTATAAATAGTCCGTGATACTAGAATAATGTATTGCAGTCATCAACCCAACAGATCTTTTTCTTTTTTATTCCTGCCCTGGAAAAAAAATTGCAGTTGAGCGATTACCAAGAGCAGCACACACAGTTCTCATTTCAACCTCATGATAAGATAATTCAGTCTAGAAGTGAAGAAGAGCAGAAATCCTTTTTATTTTTTTTTCCTGTGATGTGAACGTAGGCTCCCCTGGGTGTTCTCACATGTTAGCCGTCTCATTGCTGTTTTTGTTCCGCCATTGATTTAAGTGCTAAAATAGCCCTGCACTAAATTAGCTGCGTAGTGACATTTTTATCCTTTTAACTCACATTTCATCAGAACCTTGTTTTTCCCGGCAGGGTAATATCATCGATGACCTGTGACTAGACAGCTGACAATTCAAGTTGCAGCTTTCAAATAATCACTAAGCAAGCATTTTTAAAGTGGATTTCTGTCAATGGAACATCCATGTATGCGAAGCACTAACTTGTGATAGGCTGGACTGGATATCAGCAATATGCACCCTAAGACCACCTTTATCATGCTTCTTTCTGGCCACAGATGTTTGTGGTCACGGAGTATACAGTATGGAATTCTTTAAGGGAATACAGCAATGTATGCAGTCAGTGTGATGCAAGACTGGATACCAGGTATACACACCCTAAGACCACCTTTATCATGCTTTCCCTCTGGCCACGGTCGGATGTTTGTGGTCTCACCCTTCCCCATGTAATTAAAATATATTCCATGTGCTATGAAATCTGAAGTTTCACATAAAATGGGAAAGAAGTCTGTATTTGCTGACATCTAAAAACTTGCTTTTCTAGCCAACAACCCATGTGATGTTTGATTTGATGAAAGGAATCCTTCCTACTAGCATTGTCCTTTTATGGTGACTGCTAGATGACAAAGTCTCCAACCAAATATTTTTTTTTGTTTTGGGCTATAGTGGAAAGAGGTTAAATCAGTCAGGTTTTTATTTCTGTCTGAGACCCCATTGGGGAGAGTTTCCTCACTTCCTGCCTCTGTGATGCCTGTACAAGTAGGGGAGCTTGTTATCAGGCTATGAAGGTACGAACTGCAATGCAAACATTGTGGGAAGTTCTAACCCTTCCCTACCCTGTAAAATTAGTTTTTCTATGCATCTGTGCTTCAGAGATTTTCCTGCACCACCTCCCTGCTGGAGAGATTTTCTGTCCCATTTTCCCACTGGAAAGATTTCCTGTCCAATCTCCATGATGGAAAGATTTCCTGTCCCACCACCCTGCTGGAAAGATTTCCTGTCCTACCTCCCTGCTAAAGAGAATTCCAATTCCATCTCCCTGCTGGAAAGATTTCCTGTCCCACATCCCTGCTGAAGAGATTGCATGTCCCATCGCCCTGCTGGAGAGATTTCCAATACCATCTCCCTGCTGGAGAGATTTTCAAGTCCATCTCAATGCTGGAGAAATTGCATGTCCCATCTTCCTGCTGGAGAAATTTACAATTCCATCTCCCTGCTGGAGAGATTTCATGTCCCATCTCCCTGCTGGAGAGATTTCCCATCCCATCCCCCTGCTGGAGAGATTTCCCATCCCATATCCTGCCTGAGAGATATCCCATCCCACCCCCCTCTCGGGGTGATTTCCCTTTCCATCTCCCTGTGTGAGAGATTTTCCGTCCCATCTCCCTGCTGGAGAGCTCTCCAAGCCCATCTCCATGTTTGAGAGATTTCCAATTCCATCTCCTTGCTGGAGAGATTTCCCATCTCCCTGCTGAAATGTTTTTTCACGTCCTACCTCCCTGCTGGAGAGATTTCCCATCCCATCTCCCTGCTAGAGAGATTTCCAATTCCATCACCCTACTGGAGAGATTACCAAGTCCATCTGCCTGTGGTAGAGATTTCCCATCCCATCTCTCTGCTAGAGAGATTTAATGTCCCATCTCTCTGCTGGAGAGATTTCCCGTCCCATCCCCATGCAGGATAGATTTCCCATCCCATATCCTGCTGGAGAGATATCCCATCCCATCCCCCTGCTGGAGAGATTTCCTATCCCATATCCTGCCTGAGAGATATCCCATCCCACCCCCCTCTCGGGGAGATTTCCCTTTCCATCTCCCTGTGTGAGAGATTTTCCGTCCCATCTCCCTGCTGGAGAGCTCTCCAAGCCCATCTCCATGTTTGAGAGATTTCACATCCCCTCCCCCTGCTGGAGAGATTTCCAGTCCCATCTCCCTGCTGGAAAGATTTCCCATCCCGGCCCCCTGCTGGAAATATTTCATGTACCATCTCCATGCTGTAGAGCTTTACCATCTCATCTCCCTGCTGGAGAGAATTCCCATTCCTTCTCCCTGCTGGAGAGAATTCCCATTCCTTCTCCCTGCTGGAGAGAATTCCCATTCCTTCTCCCTGCTGGAGAGATTTCCAAGTCTAGCTCTACTTTAAAGCCTACAAAAAACACTACTAGCCCCACTGCAAGGGGAGTGTTTTCTGTATCTGGCGAGTGCTTGTTTTTGTCTAGGCGAGTTCTTTAAAGCATATTAACTTACCTGATCTTCGCTCCCCAGGTGGTCAGCACTCCCCCCTTCTCCCTTCAGAGCAAAGGGGGAGGAAAGTCTGCGAGTGCTGGTCTTGGAGCCAGCAAGAGTGGGGAACAGTTAATTAAAACTGCTTTAAAGAATTTCCCTAGATAAGAAAGTGCGGTTACCCTTACAGTGCAAGAGTAGTCCCACTGAAAGGGTAGGATTGTTTCTTTATCAGGCGATAGGCTTTAAGAAATCACAATATCACAGGTCTTATCCTTCAGTTACTCACCTGGCTGTGACCTCTATATTAGAAATGGCATAGAAATACTTTCTCAGATTATCTCTCTGCACGTACGTCCCACCGAGCGCCGGACGCAACAAGCGTAGCCGCAGGTCGGTGAGAGTGAAAAAGTCCTTTAAACCTTTGGCGCTCTCCATCCGAGTGTACAAGTTCTCCATCTTTCGAAGATCTGGGCCAGCAAAAATGGCAAAACGTTCTCGAACCTCAAAGAGCACATTTTTCTCTTTCTTGGAGCCCGCCCAGCGGGAGTAGTCCTCTGTGCACAGCACGCGGGTGACATTACTTGCTATGAGATTCACCACCTTCTTGGGGGTCATGCCAAATGCTTCAATACAATCATCAGCGTAGTATTGGTAAGGGTGCCAAGTTCTGCCATAGTCTAATGATTTCTCCAGCATCATGGCAGTGGGCCGTCCATACTCAAAGGTGACAACAATGTCATCTGATAACTCAATAGTCTTGTTCCAAGATAACGTAATGTTAGCTACCAGCGGCTCTGGGTATCTTTTCCATGTGACGCTTTGCCAATAAGTGGCTAGGTCTTCTTCGTCTTTGTCCACCATGAGACTAGGCGGGTGGGCCAGGTCAGGCGTGGAGGCATCACACTCATCACTGCAGAGGTACGGGTTCTCCTGTTTGAAAGAAGACAAAGGTTTTGGTCAGTTTTACACTTGTCTAAAAAAAAAAATACAGTTCCGTGCATTAATCAGGTCCATTTTTTATTCACTTTCTTTTTTATTTTTTTTAAACTATTTTTTATTATTTTTTTACTTTAACCCCCTGCCATCGAATTTCCGGCGACCCCTTAAACAGGATCTTATAGCCAGAGGTGGGCTTCCCTATCATGGGATTGCTTTGATTGACTAGTGAAACAATTGGCAAACGAACTCATCAATTCATAACTAGCTTAAGGCCTCATTCACACAAGAAACGGCCGCCACGTACAGCTCCGTGCTCACACACTTACCTGCTAGCCTGCAAAAAAAATCAAATTACACTGTCTAACTATTAGGGTTTAAAACAGAGGTTTTAGTTACACAACTTTTGGAAAACATGTGGAAGCCACACTGCTTCATCAAGGACTCTCTGTGTAGAGTGGTCCTTGTGCAACTAAAACCTCTGTTTTGAACCCCAAATGTTTCCCCCGGATGGAGCACAGATTCAATACAAATAGCCTTGATGAAGTGCATACTGTATTTGCATTGGCTATATAGCTCTAAAAACAATAGAAACATCCATAATTAAGGTTGGCCTGCCTTTTGCCATTGAGGTTCATCCCGCTGGTGAACAGATGTTCACTATACTTTTTTATTTAGTTTCTCGAGACCAAGGCACTAATGTGAAAAGTGAGCTACCTATTTTCTTCCTATTACCTGGTGTGCATTTGTTGCATCTAAAAAAATATCTCTACCTCTAATGTATGGGGAAATATGCAGGCTGTCATGACGATACTATTTGCGTTTGTCTGTGGCATTTTTTGCCTACCCAGCCAGAAGAGCCTTTGTGAGATCAGGTACTGATGCTGGACAAGAAGACCTAGCTCACAATGGGCGTTCAAATTCATCCCAAAGGTGTTCAGTACGGTTGAGTTCAGAGCTCTATGTAGGTCACTCATCTCCCTCCATATCAAACGCTGCACACCGTGTCTTTATGGCCTTTGCTTTATGCACAGGAGCACCGTCATGCCGAAATAGCATTTGTGAGGTCAGGCCCTGTTGTTGGATGAGAAAACCTGGCTCCCAATGAGTGTTCAAATTCATCCCAAAGGTGTTCAGTAGGCTAAAGGTCAGAGCTCTGTGCAGGTCACTAAACTTCCTCCATACCAAACTCTTCACACCATTTCCTTGTGGTCTTGACTTTGTGTACAGGGGCACAGTCATGCGAAAAGCGCATTTGTGATGTCAGGTACTGATGTTGGCTGATAAGACCTGGCTCCCAGTGGGTTTTCAAATGCATAACAATGCTGTTAAGTAGGCTTGAGATCAGGGCTCTGTGAAGTACACTGGAGTTCCTCCACATCAAACTCCTTCACCAAATTGTTGTCACAAGTTTAGAAATGTACAAATGTCTTTGTGTGCTGCAGAACAGAACCCTTAACTGGATCACCTGAACTAAATAATTTGCATAGGGTGCTCACATACTTCTGGCTAGGGATGCACAATACCGATACAGGGCCGATACGGATACTGGGCATTTGAGCGACTACTCGTACTCTCCCAAATGCTCCAATCATTACCCCAATACCGGAACTGGGGAGCATAGAGCCGGCTTCCTGGCCAATCAGGAAGTCATGACCCACCTCCCGACTTCCGGATTAGCTTGGAAGCCGGCTTTACTCTGCCTAGCAACAGTGCGAGGCAGGCTGGCTTCCTGACCAATCAGGAAGCATGTCAAAACCCGTCTCCTGGCTTCCTGATTGAGTACAAAGTCAGCTTCACGCTGCTTAGCGACACTGTGAGGCAGCCTGGCTTTCTGACCAATCAGGAAGCTGGGCGGCAGGTCAATACCCTCCACCTGGCTTCCTGATTGGTCAGGAAGCCAGGCTGCCTCGCGGTGTCACAAGGGAGGATGAACCCGGTGTCCTTTCGATAGAACACTGGCTTTCCGGCCAATCAGGCTACCTCGGGATGCCGGTATCGTTACTAGGCATGTACCTATAAAAAAATATTGATACTGAAAAACCGGTATCGGTGCCTCTCTCCTTCTGGCTATAGGTAAGTGTGATGGTCAGTGTCCACAAATGTGTGAACACAGAGTGTATCCTTTAGGGAATGAATATACTGTAGATTGCTTATTTTACAGGTCAGTCTAGTTTGGTTCAGTAGGATACTAGGAATCTCAAACTTCACAAGTTCAATACTAGGGATGCACCGATATATTGTCGCCGAAACATATCGGCCGAAAATGGCACTTTTGGCTAAATGCCGAAAGTGCATCTTTTCTGCCAATACAGCGGCGCATTCCTTCTTTCTCTCCTTCCTGCTGGGCGCTGCTCTGTGTCCCAATATGGAGGAGAGAAAGTGCGCGAGGAGAGCGCTGTGAGCGGCCGGCGTCTCAGCCTCCTGTCACAGATTGGGAGAGCGATGTGGGAGAAGACAGCCCGCACTGTCACAGGAGGCTGAGCTCTCCTCCCTGCACCGCTCGCTCAGCCTCTGGTGACAGTGTGTCAGGAAGGAGAGCGAGTACAAACACTCAGTGATCAGTGATCGCTGAGTGTTTGTAAATAATTGAGGACAGAGTATGCTTACTATATCCTCAATTATGAATGAATGGGAAGTGATCTATATCACCTCCTGATAATTCACGATTGTGGTTATAGGAAACATACTCTGTCCTCAACAAGAACACACATTATAGAGGATTCCTGTATATTTAAAAGGGAAATATCAGGGGTCTGTTTAGACCCCTAATATTACCCCGCAGCCCCTAAAAGTAAAGTAAAAAATAAAAAAATATTTAATAAAAAAATGAATAAATAAATAAAAATAAATATA